CACCCCGCCGCTGGAAAAGCCGCCGGCGCTGTCCGCCGTGCTGCGCGGCGTCTGCAGCAGCCCAAGGGTATAGCGGGGCGTCCGCTCCGCCCGCCCGCTCCACCCTGACGTGGAAGAGCCGCGGCCCGTATAGGACTCTGAGGCGGCTGAGGCGGCCGCCCGCCCACACGCGTTCGCCTTACTGCTTTCTTTCAACATGGCCTCCCCGCCCAGGCTAAAAAAGGGCCACCCCGCCAGCACCGCCTCCTCTCAAAATGGCGGCGACCGCGGCCCGCCCGCGCATGCGCACAAGTCTTACACTGCGACCGCTCAGCACTTACCCCCGGGAGACCGCCGCCTCCTGCCGAGATGGCGGCAAGCGGCCCCTGCGCCGCTCGCTGCCGCCCCGTGCCGAGACGGCGGCAGAGGGCCGCATCTCCACCCCTCCCACCCCGTGCCGAGATGGGGTTCTGTCGTTCAAGAAAAAAAAAAATGGTAAAGCTGCAGGTACTAGTACGGCTATAAATGATACAATAGTAAATACAGTTGCTGGGCACGCAACAAGTTTCATTATAAATATGCAATTACAGACAATAAAACGGTGACACAGGAACGCAAAGAAATGGTCTGCTATGCTCTTTAAAACAGGAGTAAAGCATTTAAACATAATTTGTTCCACATCCGTTCTTCAACATTCAGAGACTCTTTTAGTAGGAGCTTCACAGATGTTTTCCCCCTGCTCCAGAGTTTGGATACCAGAAGATCCCAATAAAAACCATAAAGCTTGTTTACATCTAGAATTGTCTTAATGTGCTTCTATGCATGTTTTAGAACACTGTAACACTGCTTTGTTTATTAGCATGTAATATACCCCACTAAAACTGTTTCAATTAACATTTTGACTAGTCAACACTTTGTCTCTGGAACTTAATACACCTGCATTAAAAAAACCTCCAACCTGAAGCCAGCCTTTACTAGGCCACAACTCTTTGTGGACAGTTGTACTTTGATGGCTATTCAGCTTCACAATAGAAATTCTATCGGTTGCAGCTCCTCAGCTGACATCTGAAAGGCATTGCCCCCAGCCTCCTAGTTCAGAACAGGCATGTGCTCTCTCAGCACTGAGCATCATCAGTCAGACAGCGTTAAAAATTCAAGCATCAGAGTTCAGTTTCACTGCAGAGCAAAGGATGGAAGACAGCAGCTGCGGATTCCAGTTACCGCCACTGTCCTGAATTTCAAGTCCTACCTTGAACTTTCCATATGCATTCAGACTCCTGAAGCTGGTGTTAGACCTTCTCCTCTTCTCTGACAGAAATCCAAGTGTATGGCAAGAGAAGCAGAAACAAAAGGAATGTCCATCTTCCACCTTCCTTTATGGTCACAAATCAAAAGGCTGAATTTGCCTCACCAAGCTGTCTCAACAAAACTGAAAGGAAGCACCTTTGGAACAAAGCACATACCTCTGGACTTGACCATGTTCTTAGAAGGTAATAGAATGGCTGTTGATTCCCCTCCCTCCCCCCAATTTTCTTTTAATATACATATCTACAGACACACAATTCTGTGTACCTGAATTATTCATTATTCTTTCACAAATTCTCATACAGCATCTTGCCAAATTTATTGCTGGGAATGTGAGCTACACTACAGTACTTAAGATCAAGTACTAAGATAATGTCAGGATCTTTCCATATAAAGATTTCCATGAGGAAAAAAAAGTTATCAAAGTACAAATCTCTGAAAGCCTTTAATAAAGGACCTGTAACTGAAGACTGAGAACAGTAGATTAATTACTGCAAAGTTTCTAACTACATAAGCTCAGAAAAAAACATTATCAGTACTATTAACAAAATAGAGGTAGATGGTAACAATGTATTCTGCACCAAAATGAGATAAGTCTTGACATAGACACCCTGTGCAACTAATTTTTTTCACAGTACATTTAACAGAAAATGTGATTTTGTCTGCATAAGAAAAGTTGTGATGACTCTTTCTACAAATACAGTATTTTAAAAAACTGATGTAAAGAATGGAAGAATATTCTTAAGAAGTTTTTAATTTGTGCACATACTCCTTTTTTAACCTAGAATCTTACAAGATCTTTACAAATCACAGCAGACTTCGGAAGTGAAGTTGACCAGACCTTCTTCAGAGAAAAACTCCAATAATATTAATATGGTTTCAACCTAGAGTGAAATGTTCTCCACTGTCATGCAGTACCACCCACATATTAATTCCCAGGGTGTCTCAATCTACACTAGACTAGAAATTCTGAAGAGGATTCTATTTTGTCTATACAACATGGAAAAAATGACAATTTCCTAAGTACTGAACAGTGTTTCCTTAGATGAAAAGAAGTGGCACTTGCAAAGATAACCTGGAATGAGAAAAATTTAACAGAAAATTTAAAAATAAACTTTACAGTTAGATAAAACCTGATCAGTGCTCTCATTCCCTCGCACTCAACACAAAGCCTACTGTAACTTTTTTCCAAACCTTGAAAAATAAATTAATTCCAGGCTTTGACCAAAGAATTCATCAGGCAACTGGACAGCTAAAAAGAAGTGGGTTTTTACCCTATTTTTTTTTATCTAAAAGCCTGTAGAGAAGGCTTAAAAAATTCATTAGGAATATTTGAGCATTCAAATACACATTCTCTCTTTGAAATTCTCTACAAGTAAAGGTCTACCAAAAAGTTACTTTGTCCATCTGACTCTCTACTAACACGAAGAGGCTGGATAAAACTAACCAGCTGGCTTTTAAAACTGTGTTTGAAACAACTTTAGACCTTCCTTAAGCATAAGTACAGAGATTATCAAAGACTTCCTCCCCCTTCATGATTACCTTTTACTGTATATTTCAACTGGAATATGATTCAGTCTCAGCCAGGGTGTGTGGAATGTAAATTAAAAGGCAATTTTAAGGTTTCTGTGAAGACAAAAACGGCTTAATCCTTCAGAGAGCAAGTGTTTTCCACAGCTAGTTTTATTCTCAATTACACCATAATCAAGTGTTGGCAATTATTGTCTTAAAAGCTATGAAAGCAGGATTTCAACCCAGCAACGAATTTAGGATCAACTCTGTATTCAGTCACAAGTCACTGTCCTATAGAGACCTTCTCTAGAGCGCTTAATGTTAGCAAGTTTCACTATACATACTCAAGGTATGCTCTATTTCAAATATCAGCGAAATTTTGTCTAAGGGACTCATCAATAATGGAAGACATTTATATACTTAATGGAATCATAATTTTTGTTTTCACTGGTATCAATTACTATCAGAAGAAAAAACTTGTTTCGCAGTATATAAAAGTGATGGCAAACATGAACAGGAAGAATTAAATACACGTGTGTCGCATTAAGTGCATGGCTTAAGTAGGGTTTTGTTTGTTGGGGTTTTTTTTCCATATTCTTTTAAAGTGCTTTGTGTGATCCATCATCAAAACATGCTTGTGTAAGACAAATGCTAGCATGGTTGATATCACAGGAATACAGAAATTAAGGATTCACACAATTGCTTTGACTTGAATATCCAAAAAAAAAAATGCAAAGGTCCATATTATTTAGATACAGATTAGAAATGTTTCTACATCTCTTATATACAACCAAAGAACGTTTCACTCAGATGATTAGAACCAGCCTGTTCTGATACAGTTTACAAAGTGACAAAGCCCACAGTAAAGCTACTGCTTTACTTTCATAACGTAAACACATCTCAAAGAAGAATATGCTAACAGTTTCAGAGATGAGATGACTTAAACCAGTAAAACCAAAGCAACTGGGCATATCAACCTTTTGTCTCTACGAGGCTTAGCTCACAAGCTCAGGCTGTACATTTATTCTTCGAAGGACATCTTCTGGCATACAAAAGACAGGATTGACGGCCTTAATTTGTTCTTCTCCTAATAAAGATAGTCCAGCAATTCCAAATAAGGTGTGAAATGGATCCACCTGGGAGAAGAAAGAAAGTTTGTGTCCATTTCCAGAAGTCAATCAGCTTTTCATTTGTATGGAATGAATCTTTTGTTTGCTAGCAAGAGAACTGCAAATCTCCATGGCTGGAGGAGACAATGCAACTGAACAAACTTTCATTTGTGCTAATGTGTTGACAGGCAAGACAATTTACACAGCATGCATTTACAGTACTATGATTTACTCAGAGACGCTTGTCAATTGTCTGCTGCTAAGCAGATTTTCAACTCCGAATCTGGAAGGAAGCACTCACATGTCTCCATTAGCACGCAATGTCATGGGGTAGCAGAAGCAAAGATTAAAAAAAAAATTAAAAGTAAATTTGATCATCTACAAGTACCACTTCCATAATTTCCCCATTTGCTCTTCAGCAACATTATAATGCTCTTTAATGGTCTCTGAATATGAGCTGTGCTGTAAAATCTTGAGAGGGGAGCAGCAACCTACTGTGCTAAAAAACTAAAAGGAAAAAATACAAGGAAGAAAAAACCCAGAAGAGACAGGAGCAGTTATTTGGTATCCAAATATTCCTTCATTGTATGAACCTTGCCTAAAAGCATGTATCACCACATTAACTGCAATAGACTATAAATTCTCATGACCTAAGCATCCTGTCAGTGGAGTTAATTAGCCATTCTACAAAATCCTATCCAAAAGTACTTGTGCTGTCTGGTGCAGCGTACATCCTGTTTGCGTTAGTGGAACTTCTGACTTTATCGCTAAGGTTCTATACTGCAGTAAACTAAGCTGAATTACCATGTTATAGCCATATACAGGATCTCCAACCATTGATCACAGCCTAGAAGGTTCAAAATACACTAGCATAGCAAGTCTTGCTCCTCAATGGTTCAGCAACCACATTACAGGTGTGGTCAAAGCTCAGACATATATGTTTGCTTGCTCCTTCCCAGAATGAGTATGTGGCCATTAGAGGAGGGGTAAAATAAGTAAGTACATAGCAAAATAGTAATAATAAACAGTACACTTTAGGAATGGCAAGACAGAATTTCCTTGTACTGATCAACAGGCCCAGAAGGGGAGACCGTCCCCAATGGGAAATGTGCAAATGAAGTTACAGATTCAACCTCTTGATGAACAGTATGTGTGTTCAGAGAAACCCAGATTCCTAGAAGATATATCTACTGCTATGTTGTCTGCTCCTTTCTGCAATTTTCTTTAAAGCAAATAAAAAAAAGGAAAAACCTGTTGAACTACAACTAAGAGCTAATAAGCACAGCTACTAAATTAAGTTATCGAGAACTAGCTGCTTGTAACTTAAAAAAAGACAGCTGTCTTACTGTCAAGTGGTTCAAAACCTGAAACACAATCACAATATCAAATCAAAAGACTAGAACCTAGAACTAATTAAAAAAAAAAAACCAAAGAACCCAACCCCCCAAACAAAAAAACCACCCCCCCCAAAACCACACTCCCCCCAAAACCCCAAAACAAACAAACCAACCCAAACCAACCAACAAACAAAGAACTACAAAAAAACCCCCAACCAAAAAACAACAGCGTCTGTTAGGAATGAGTTTCTGGAGGAACAAAGCAAAAACCTGTAGGCATCAACATTTCTATGGCAGTGCCCACTTCAATAATGGATGACAGGTAAAAATAATATGAAATGACCGCTAACAATATGCAAAAACTCTCCCACAGGTGCCTGCATTAGATATAGAGGAAAGGCACTGCAAAGCTGCTCTTCCAGCAAGACAGAAATAGCTCAAGTTTAATCTCAAAGCCAGAAAAGTATTTAGACTTTCAAGTGTTAGGCTTTTCTTGGAGAATTCTGAAAAGGGAAAAAGTCTTTCCGTGAGCTCCTCAGAAATACAAAAACCTTCCTATTTTAAGAACACCAAAACACTTTCCAAATGACAGACCAGAGTAAAGAGATTTCTCCCCCTCCCCCAAGTGGGAATAATGTATCAGCTTGCAAAGAAATAGAAAGCTACTTCAGTTTTTAATGCATTTGTGGAGAAAGGAAAAGACACGGTCAGCTGCAATAAAAACAGCTAAGACTTCCCCCTGACCGCTGACAAATAAGCGGTCAAGTGTTCTATAGGAATTGCACTGAGGTCTCATAATACTTATTTTATCTGTCCAGCACCCTTGAAAGACACAAACTTTATTTGCCATTGTACCTGGACAATCTCAATTATTTCTGCTTGAAAGCAGAGAGAACACACCAGCTAAACCATAATTGCTCTCTCAACCAAGCAGAAAATCCATACCACCAGCCTCTTCATAATGTTACCACAGAAGCTTCTTCCTCCTTCATCTAGACAAATGCCAGTGAGAGGATTTATTCAGTGGCTGGGCTGGCACAGAACAAAAGTTAGCATATAAGGGTTCTTAATAAAAACTTATGACTCATTTAGACCAGACAAAACCACCAAGAGAGTTGAAGACTACCTAACCTGCGCGGGACTCTAGCTTGCATATCATTTTACAAAACAAAACAAACCCCAAAAAAACCCACACATCCCACCACCAAACACAGTATTTTTACAGAGATCTTCCAAGTGGTCTCGTGAGAAACGATTTGTCTGGTATGTGTTATGGGAACGAAACCAGACTTTGTAAGGAATGGCAACTGACTTCAGTAGGGGATACTACAGTGCGAGTGCAATATAAAATACGTGCTCCCCAAGTAAGCCTTCGAAAGCAACTCTACCCTATTCTTTCCTTCAAAGGCTCTGCAAAACACTTACACCTGGATCACGAGTTGAGTTACACTCAAACAAGAAAACTTACACTTAATTGAAAATTTCAACTGAAAAAGTATTTTATTTAGTAAAGGATTATTTACCATATCTCCTGGTCTGTCAGCAAATCCTCCAGTCTCCTCATCCTGGCAAGCCAAAATAAAGCAGCGCAGTTTCTCTCTGTCAATCCAGTGTAACCTACCAATCATCTTCAAAGATGCTAGCACCCACCATGAGTAACATACATCAGGTAACTGGCAAGCAGAGAAGCACATTAGAATTTGATTTTGTTTTAAACATGACGTTGCAAATTTTATTGGTGATTGTGCAAATTACTAGGTGTGCTGTCATAATACTGTTGCAGAGAAACAACACTTAAAGAGTTTCTTTGGGGTAAAAGAGAAGAAAGTTCCTGGATACAGTCTCTTTTCAGAGGACTTCCCTTTTTCAGGAAGGGAAAGTCTCTTTTTCAAACCTCTTCCCTTCTTCAAGAAACAAAACTACAAGAATGCGATTTTGAAACAGCCTTCACCTTCTATAGGAGAGGCTAAAAAAAACATAGCGCCTTTTTCAGGAGTAAGTATGAACAACTTCTTATCAACTAGTTTCATTTTTTAGAAAAAAAAAAAATCTGTTGGTTGATTATCTATTTGCCAGTGGAGATTATTCTAGGTTACACAATTTCCTAGTGTGATGTGGAACACTATTACACCCAGGATTTACATCCAGTAAAACACTAATTTTTGTACAAATCCTACAGAAGAGATCAATCCCAACGTCAGAAAATATTCAAGCCCTGATTTAACAGGATACTGGTTCAAGTGGTCAGCAAGACATACTTCAGTATTTGTACCTTCCTAAACTGAGGACTCAAACTAAGCATAGCTAAGGACTGCATGACAAGTGTTAGCAACAAAATGAAGCATCAAACTGAAGGCCTGACTTCTTTGAAAAGTTTGCTAAATATTTTATAGAAGTCATGACATTTTCCAGAAGTACTTCACCTTTAGAAAAAATAATCTCTATTGAGGTTTGAACAAACAAAAGAAGCCACCTAATACCTTCTCTGGTCGTCCATTGAGACCTCCAGAAGGTAACTGACGTTCACAAAGCCACCAACCCAGCAAGTCAACATTTATTTGATGCAACTGGTCTGTTATAGCCAGAAATCCTGTGCAACAATAGATCTAAAATTACAGACATAAATTTTTTGTGTATTTAAAAACTAAGTATAGTTTAGCAGACTAAATGCAGGAAGATCTCAAAGCAGGAATACAGTCATGCAAACACAATACAAAATAAGCACACATTTCAACTTTTAATTTCAATTGAGTTTTACCTTTCCATTAGAAAAGTATGTTATCGTTACAGTTGCTTTTGTATAAAAGTACCAGTTACACAGTGTAATTATAGAACAGGAAGATTTTACTAATATAAGACACTAATGCAAGGTCTGGAAAAAGATCCTAGAAGATCAGGCAGAGCCATACAGTTTTATTTTAAAAACAGACTCTCAAGCCAGAGTACCCAAACTGATTTCTGCAGGCTGGATATGGCCTTCATGAAAATTTTGCATCCAGCCTATGGTTTGTTCCTGTATGTGCCTCTTACCCTAAGGCTTGTGGAGAGCAAACTAAAGACCAAATGAATTCTCCAGCAGAAACAGGTTAGCCCTGATCATTTAACTATCCTGGCAATCCCACATACATCTAGTCATGTCAGGCTTACTTTCAATGTGCCATGTAATATATGGGCATCGATTAATCCCTGTTTATTTTTTCCTGGGAAATAACATTTACAGTGCAACAGCATACTCCAGTCACATTTCATGCAGTCACCAAGAAAGTAGCCAAGCACAAACTGCAAGAAACCACAGTATTAACTGAAGCCTGCTCATAATTGCGTTTTCCTAATAAAACACACCGCCAAAAAGACAACAAAAAACCCAACAAAAGCACACATCAACAGGGATGTGCCTATCCAAGAATACTGCAAAATAAATGTGATATTCTCAGAAAACGTTTGAACTACTGTGCAGGTGAAGGAGTTGCCCTTAACAGCATTTTAAGGAGTACGTGAATATGCACAACACATCTAATCCTCCCAGGAAATGCCAGCTGCAGGGTGGGTTCAGCTACTTAATCTGACTTCCTTGAACACCAGAACACAGTCCAGCCATTTAGACCATATGGGCAATGCTACTGTAGATAAAACTCGTAAGATAAGGTACATGTACCAGATTTAATTTTTTTTTTTCCTGATTTAAAAAAAGGGGGGGAGGGAGAAAAAACCCAGCACTTTTTCTCAACAAAATAACTCTAGTATTTTGATGTGCTGAGGTGAATCCTGGCTATGGCATTGCTCACCATAATTATGCAAAATAAAAAGGGGATTGCAACAGCATTAAAATATTTTATTAAAAGCTGATTTCTATTAATAAATTCAGGTTAACTGCAATAATCCCTTCCATGAAAAAAATAAAAATAGGAAAGGTAGTTTTTATGTAAATTTTCTGCTGGAAGAAGTCATTGAGATTCTCTTCCTTGAGAGATCCCTTAATTTGTTCCAATTATATTACTGCATTCGCTTCTCAAATAGATTTTACTGCGCATCTTTCACTAGGAAAACACTCTTTAGTGCCTACAAAAAAACATTATCAATGTTCCCATGCCCGAGTTAGGCATCTCATCTTAAAACTGACTTTCCTCAAAAAGTTAAGCAAGCCTCCCCTTGAGAAGTTTCACGTCTCATTTTTGCTTCTTGAGAAGTTTAACGTCTCATTTTTTTTTGTGTTCATCAGCTGATAAATATCAAACATATTATACAATTGACCTCTGTTTCATTATGATTTGTGGCAGACACAGTGATAGATCTTGTCCAATGTCTCCATTAATACCCATTTCAAATTCTCTAAAAATCCTCATGCTAACTATTCCGACATCACTATGTGAAGACTGAAATACAGTCCTAAAAGTTGTTCCCTATAATCTTTTTTTTTGGCCTAGATTATAACCTCCAGAGTCTCATCGTCTCAGATTTATCTACCTATTTGTTCACTTCTTTTAACTAAGGTACTAGAATCAGGCATTTGGGAAACAAGAAAGGTACATCAATTGACATCACCGATAGATGTCGTAAAGAAACGTTTATAGGCAGTATGTGACACTTGCTAATTTAAAACATTTCCATATAAAGAAAAACTCACCTGTCCTGCATGTGATTCGGAACCTGGTCTACAACCAAATCCTCCATCAAAGTTCATACAGGACAAAACGAATTCTACTGCTTTCCCCACATCAATAGCATCCAGCTTTCCCTGCAAGTCAGAAAAGCAACTAATGCACTTTATATTCTACCAAGCTCCTTAACTACAGAAACTTTAGCAGTACCAAAGAGAAGATTCTGTACTTGTGCAAGTAATGATTTAGGACTTACCAGAAGTGCAAGAGTTGCTGCAGCACAGAAGGAGAACCTTGTATCTATTTCTCCTAGAATGTGGGGGGTAGGGAAGGAAATAAGAGTATTTTTATTAACAACAACAAAAATACATTTAAACCACCACTGAAAATATGGAACAAAATGTTAAAATACTAGGTTTTACATTGAACAACAAAAATCAGCCAAAACCTGCCCCTGTACTGTTTCCTTTTCCAGCCCATGGATTACTTCCTCAGTAAATCAGAAAGTGTACATTACAACTCAATTGATCTGTATGTTTACTGCACATAAAAATGAACAACTCATTTTGAACTGGTGTATAGTCAGATATATATCCAAATCAATTCAACTAGTGGTAATTTATAAATAACTATATAATTTCAGAGAGTATCTGTAGTGGTCTACTAGATAATTGAAGAGCAGTGGACTCAAAAATACTCAGACACAACTCTTGATCTGCCTTAAATCCAGGCAGAAGTAGAAGGCATTTTTGTTTTTAGAGGAAGACTGATGAAACTTGCAAGTTTTCTTTTGCATAATTATACCTGGAAGCTAAACCAAAATGCTACACTTATAGCAGAATGATTGCTCGGCAAGTCCATACCAATACAACTCTCCTAGCACAAACTCTGAGCAATTAATACTTGAAGTCAAAATTTAAAATTGAACCCAGCCACAAACAGTCATTTTTTTGGTCAAACTGATGCAAGAGTTTTCTTCTTAAGAAATCCACAAGCTGAAGCATATAAAACAAACACATGCTGTTCTGTCCTACATCAGGTATCAACACTCCTTCAGTTGCGCTGTAACTGCCTTTCAGAAATAACATAAATCCATTGTGCATTCAGTACGTTTGTTTCAATACTTCTAACAAAAAGGATGCAGCAAACTATGAACCATTTTAACACATAGCATAACAGCTACCTTTACAGTAGCATACATATACTGCCATGGTCTTGATTGTTGAATTTTACCAGAACAGTAACATGAGTGATACACAATAGATTTTATTAAAATTTAAGCATTCCAGGGGGACAAGTATTTTTAGAGTGACTAAATATTTATGCTACAGCTTAAAAATACCATCTTTGTTCATAAAGAATTTATGTGCAGAAACAAAATCAGTATTAACAGAAGTTCATGACTACAAAACCAGTTTTTCTCATTCCCACATAGTGAAAGATCCTTTCACAGCCGAAATGGATAAGGATTGGAACTGACTGCCATTAAATAGCAAGCATATACTATTCCGTAAGGAATGTCTTATCTAGTATATCAAAGTACTGTCAAGTTACAAATACCCAAAGGTTTTCTTCTTTAAGAGCTGGACAATTTATTTTTAATACAAGAATGGAACAGAAGTTTAGAATATTTATGAAAGGAATGAAACAAAATTTTCTCTTCACAAAACTTCCTTTTTCATAACTCAGAAAATAAAAATGTTGACACGCAATACATAAGCAAAAACACCTTCCAAGGAAACTTAAGTTCACAGACTTACATACGTCAACCTAGTCACTAAATTTTAAAGATCTAAAAATTACCCCATTTGTCTCCAGCAAATGATCCATCTTCTTTTTGCAAGTTCTGTATATATTCAACAATTTTATTTACATCAACAACATGGAGACTATCATATAAGATAAGAATCTGGGAAAAAAAAAAGACGACACAGTAACAATCAGAGAGAGGCAAAAATTTTAAAAATTTCTTTAAAAAAAAAATCCTAGATTTATAAAAGACTATTTAATTGACTGTGAATACTATTTGGTAAGGTTTATTAAAATAAAATTTCATTCACTGCAGTTCATCTATCTCTGTCTAAAAACTTTAAGAAATTCTCAAATGAAAATATAGGCAATTCCAGCTCTCCTTTCAAAAGCATAATCAGGTTTATTTGTTAGCATTATGTAGAACAGAGATTTGATTATGGTTGATTTTGTAATGGGATAATGACATCCTAGACTTACAAATTTGTAGTTTGTGCACTGCTGCTACTTGGATATGTGCAAGTTAAGCAGCTAGTTACTAACACCACTCACAGTCCAAGCCTGTCAGCAATGCTTAGTTTCGAATTGTAAGATTTTTATTTACATTCCATTTTTAAATATGAGAAGAACCAAATTGCAATAATTTAAAAAAAGTATGAACAATATGATTAGACACAAACTGTACAGTCAATATATTCTGGAAGAAAAATAAAGGTCATAGTAGGGAATACAAAGTTTTCTGAGCTAGCACTAATTTGAACTGTTGTAAACCCATACAACACAATGTCATATGACAACAACAATACTGTTTCTGAGCCCCAGCTGGCTTCGTGTTTTTACTCATAACTTGCATAATCTGTAAAGAAAGTAATTAAGAATTTATTATAAATAGCATAATAGAAAGAACAGTTGAAACTAAGCATTATCATAGTGCCAATCCCAAAAAATACCAACAACTATGACTTTGAACACCTAGAGTTAGCTGGAATCTTTCAACTGTTAGATAAAATTTAAGTCTTACGGAAACGCAAAAAAGAATTTATAACTCCAACAGAAAATATATAATCATAGCATGCTCCTTAAAAAGCAAATCTGAACGCATTACTATTAATTGTGATCAAAGGAAGATGTGAGATGACCCTTTAAACATTCCAGATATGCAGATAGGACTAAACGGTGTTTGTTCACTAAGAACATGCATGCTCATTAAGACATGCTGGTTAAGTTTACGCAAAAAATTTTACATCAGCACTTGCTAACACCTTTCAACTTCACACATCTACAGCTGCATTCACGTAACATGAAAATATCTCCTAGTAACATGAAGTATTTATTTAAGAGCTAACATGCCTAATACGTAACAGTAAACAACCTCAAATTGTACCCCCTTCTCCTTATACTGGATTAGAATTTGTGAAAGGAGTTTGATTGGGAGTTTGGAAAAGCTCAAACGTCACAGCCTAAAGAAATTTAAGTTTCCTGGTTCTCAGAGTACTCAGAGTAATTCTAGAGCTAAAGTGGTGATAAATATCAACTTTAGAGCAGATAACACATGCCAACACTCATCACTGACCCAAGAAAACAGCATTCTTCTGTCCTACCTAAGGGTTTCAAATCCAACACCCTAAATCCAACACACTTCCTTCCTAAAACAGGACGCTATCTTATTTATTTGTAACACCATTTGAATATTTCTTCCATAAGATTGGACTAGAAATACATTATGCAAGCAATCAAGCAATAGTTCAGAAACATTTGAGCCTTTTTGGTAATTTTTTTTTTTTCCACGACCGTTTGCGTGAGAAGGAGAACAAAACAAAACAAAAAAAGGATACAAGAGACAGTGAAAAATTATAATGGAAATAGTTATAGTGAAAAAATAAGATTGAGAATTACTTTTTCCTCAGGGGAAGAATACACACCAAATAAATAAATGCCCAACAGACTGGTATCATTTTTAAGTTATACACAAAAAAGCAGATTTGAGGAACACAAAAAAGCAGATTTGAGGAACACAACAAGAACTGGCTACCACAATGTTTCTTTCGTACAGTACTAAAGTGTAAACACACTACACATAATTATACATACTACATAACACAAAAAAGCAGATTTGAGGAACACAACAAGAACTGGCTACCACAATGTTTCTTTCGTACAGTACTAAAGTGTAAACACACTACACATAATTATACATACTACATAAATATAGTTTATATAAACAATTTTTTATTAATGTGTTATAATATATAGCAATCATACTACATAGTAGTATATACATTAAAAAATAAAATCAAAAACTTTACTCTTATTCTGGTCATACATATCTTTTACCTCAATGTACACTAAGAAGAATTTATAAAATCCAAAATTATCTACAAAAAACTCCAGTAAAAACTGTATCTAAGAAGTATTTCAAAACAACTGTTACAAAATTTATCAAGAATGCAGTCACTATTAAATAATCATTAAAAGCACAACATTCCCAAATCTGACAATTTTTTAGGAAATGATACAGCTAAATCCTAAAGTTTTGTCCATTAGGCATTTTTTTTTTTAATAAGGTACTGAAATAGTTTTTGCCGTCAGCATCCAACAGTACCTGGTTTGTAAATCTGCAATCAACCAAATCATTAACCACAAATGTTTTTGTCTAAAATTACCCTGTTATATTTACCTGGACAGCACTGAGGGTATACAGAAGATGAGGATCATGACCTATGCTGGCACTTATTCCACCACATTCATGTTGACACGATTTGATGAATGCCAGAATTTCTTCTTTGTTCATTCGGTGCAGCTGCCCCATGAGATCCATTGCCGTCAGCCCCCAGTAAACACCACTCATCCTCAAATACTCCGACATACAGTATTCCTAAGTAGTGCATTATTTTAGTTCTTAATCAGATAAGCACATCATCAATACAGAGCAATGAAAATACATTCGTTAACATTTACAGTTTGTAATATGTCAACCATCTTCCATCCTATTAACAACTTCCTATATATCAGCCACTCACAAATACTCTGTACATCGTGCATGTGTGTATATTACACACGCGTACATACTGGCACATGCACATGCATATATCTACATATACTAGATGTATATGTAGATCCCTTCCTCCCCCGTATTTTCTAGTTCAGAAGTATCAAGCTCAACATCAAATTAAACACATACAAGTAGTTAGGCACCAGTTCACTTCAGATCATCAGTTATTATCCTGGCATCCAAACTACCACTCAAATTACCACCCCAACTAGTCTCAAAAATAACAAGTCTAACATTTAATGAAACTTACTTCCAAGTGCCAAAACTGCCACAATCTAAAGCTGCACTAGGAAGCACAATCCCATACTGAATTCTCTTACATTGATTACATCACCTTAGGCACCAGTTCACTTCAGATCATCAGTTATTATCCTGGCATCCAAACTACCACTCAAATTACCACCCCAACTAGTCTCAAAAATAACAAGTCTAACATTTAATGAAACTTACTTCCAAGTGCCAAAACTGCCACAATCTAAAGCTGCACTAGGAAGCACAATCCCATATTGAATTCTCTTACATTGATTACATCACGTACACTACCCATAAACATTATTTTCTACATGCAGTACTTTTTAAGCACAAGAACAACAATCATAAGCAATAGTGCTCAGAGTTCTTTTGCGGACAGTAAAGATAACTGCAACTTTTCTTTTCTTCAGACATAAGCAGTTATTGACGTTTCACCTGCTGGAACTGGAATCCTATTGTTGTGGGCTACATCTGATAACCTACAACTACAAAACCAATGCTAGTTGAAGTGTTTATCAAAGCTAGTAAGCACGAAGCAGTGCTGTGGTGAGATTCAGTCTGTTGTCCCATCAAAACAGCAATGCGTAAATGCAGCTACGCTCCTTGTGCATTCTAGTGGATGAAGAAGCAACAAGTAGTTCATTTCCCAGGTCTCAGAGTAATTCTAGAGCTAAACTGATAATCTTCAAATTTATACTCAGGTAATACATGCCAAAACTCATCACAGACCTAGGGAAATTAACAAAGACGTCTTTCTTTTATACTTTGGATTGCAGGGCAAGAAACAATTAGCTTGTGAGCATGCATCTAACCCTTAACTCTGGGCAAGTAAACAAGAGTTATTATTACTGTTAATAAAACCACAGCTGTACTGAAACAAACCGATACCTACATAATCATCTTTCTTTGTTCCATATGAAGCAATATAGTCTGCATGTTTCTCCGAAAGTAACGTGCTTGGGGCATCGGGTTTTATTGTAACATCCTTTTGCGGTGTCCCCTGTAAAAAGTACCAACAAAACGTCAGTTGTATTGTCATTTCAAGAGGTTGTAGTACTTAGCTACAATTTATTCAACGCTAGTAGCAGTAGCTGATTGCCTGGAAACAGACATCTCTCTGTTTTGAACACGGGGCAGATTTCTTATCTCACATCGCCACTTTTCAGCCTGGCTAAATGCTTCCCAGGGAAAAGCTGCGAAAAAAATCTTTCAATAAAGCTGAGAAAAATCACCAATTCCCCAGAAATTAACTGAAAAACCGGAAGCAGGAGCCCTTCACCGCGCGGGCAGAGGACGCCGCGCCCCTCGCAGCAAAGGCCCCGGCCGGACGCAGGCCCCGAGGCCCCACAG